AAAGTTCTGTTACCAGATTATGATTCTGTATACAATGTCAGGAGATGATTATTTAATAATATACATATTTATATATGTATTAAAGCTAAAACCCCTCATTACTTTGGTCCACTTCTATCGGTTTTTTTTCAATGCTAGCTGCCGTTCTTGCCTCTCTTAATATCCTTTAATCTCGTCCTATGGTCCTGTTGTCACTGATATGTTCCTTTACCTTCTCAAACTCCAACTAACTTCCAAGAAACCTTTTTTTGCTCCTGCCGGCTCATTGTTGTATATGTGCAGCAACTGCCCAGGTGTAGTTTTGATCATGTCGGCATCCTCAACTCATCCTCTTCCAGGATTCATATTTTTTGCAAAGCCCGATCCAACACATGATTTGTTCAAGCTCCCAAAGGGCCTCCCCATAAACCCGCTGCTCAGAACCCCTTTAAAAGACAACTTCCTCACAGGCCTTTGTTCCCCCTTCCAATAATTGCATGCAAATTCTTTTCTTCCACCTTCCTTCCCCTCTTCTTCTCCTTCCTGATGGAATCTTCGACCTCATGATTTTCATGTGTTTGATTGTTTTTGCACTTCTTCCACATGCTTGCCATTCTTCTGGCACGGTGCCCCACAACGCTCTTTATATGGCTGGCCTCCAAGTCTTCCCAATCAAAGATCCCATCATGTAGCAGCACACGTGACACACAGCTTCCATTCCCATCAGGAGCTTCTCCATGCTCTTTGTTCAATTGGCAATTGGCATACCCCACTTTTGTATTGGGGATCCCCACTGGATTTAGTCTTTGGGAACCCTCTTCATGAAGAGATTTCGTTTGGGATCTACCTTCATGAGGACATTGGCGACCTCCCCTTATGAAGAGATTTAGTCCCGGGGTTCTCCGACCTCCGGGGTGACAAACCTTCTACAGGGGAGTCGACCAATGCGTAATTCATTTCGGCCGCGGTTTGTAGGACATCGGCTCCTCTAGTCAGTTCGTCACGATCAGCGCTTGTCGGCAGGCGAGCTGAAGCTCTTGCGGAGGTATTTGCAAAACGCCTCGAGCTTTTTCGAGTTCGGGACTGGAGCCAGCACCGTGCAGCTGGGCGTTCGTCTCACACGAGGTCGACGAGGTCTTTCGTCGCCGGGTTTCGGTTTCGGACGTTCCGTTTTTTCAGCACAGTGAGAGAGAGAGAGAGAGACACAGTGGTCGAACGGTGGGAGCGAGTGGAAGCTCAACACATGTGTCGAATCGATCCAAAGAGTCCAAGAGGTGGGATGAAGATGAAGGGCGCATCGATGCACCATGCACCGAAGAGCCAACCGCACGAAGAGCGGCCCGCGTGGGGGCTGTGCGCCACTAACCTTGTCCCCCGCAGTTTTAGAATGAATTAATATATGATTGAATATATTGTACAACTCGGAACTGAGTTGGTGTTTTCTCATCTAAGCAATGATATCAAAACCGATGCTGACGCCAAGCCAACCGTAACCAGACATTGTTTCGAAGGTATTTGGCGACAAAGTTCCCAGAGCTTCAGATTCACGCAGTTGAATTGGATGGCAAGTGGGCAGGCCACGCGTCTGAAGGGGTAGGGGCATGGGGACATTGAGGGGAACATGGGAAGTTGGCGGCACAAGGTGCAACGCGCGACGGTTTGAGTTGCCTGGATGTTTGAACATGTAGACTGATGAACCACCTTTCCTTCCCAGAATCTGTGTATATATAGATAGATGAGAAATACTTTCCCTTCGAGAATGGCTTTACACCTTCAGAATGGTGTATTTTCATAGGGAGACCCCGGAGACCCCGAAGACTGGGTGGAGTGGTCCATGTCCCTTCTTCCCAGGGGGGGTCGGAATGCCTGGGAGGCCGCGCCTCGTTGCCGAACGGGGGTCGTTCCCAGGCCTGGTGCGAGCTCAGCTGCGGCACCGTGGATTGGAGCAACGGACTCGGGTCCGGCACGTGGACGTGGGGACCACGGAGGTGTGCACGGTGGGGGGTGCAGTTGGTAGATGGAGCAGGGAGGTGATGAAGGTGGAGAAGTACCTGAAGTACGCTGAAATAGATGAGTTGGAGATTGCTGGCAGGCTATTCCGTAGAGTCGTTGTGATTTGCCCGGGCGCTGGGCACGGTAGGATTCTCAGATTCTCAGCCAGAGTGTGGAACTGGTTTATCCTTCCGACACGTCACGGTGTGCAGTACCCCATCGCAATTATATCTATACTGTTCAAACGAAATTGTGTTCTTTTTGGTCGCACACATCAACCACCTTCTTGTGACCACCGTGATTGGTTTCAAAAGACCAAGACTCCACACCAACTGACTTCTTTTATTTCTTGTCCAGCTTCTTTGGGCGGCCTTTTTAAAGACCTTTTGGAGGAAGAAAACTAGACCAACGACTCGGTGCATTTCGTAGGGATTTTCCTCCTCCTCGGCAGACCTCCAAACTGTTTGGAGACCTCGCAGACCAGGCCTTTGCCTTTCCGGTCGAGAATCGGAGCGCATGCGTCCGGCGGAAACGGCAGCAGAAGCCACCCGGTTTTGGGCGTCCTTGGAAGTCCGGCCGGAGTTCATTGGTGTATTTGGGTGTGATTGGTGTTTCATTTGGCTCCTACATGTTTGGGGACAACATATGTTTTGGGACAACACGTTCATGTTCTTCTCACGAAGAACATGCACGTTTGCCCTTAGGCAAAACAAACAACCATCAAACAACTTTTCCTGATTACTGTAAACACTTTTTTGGATACCGACCTCCTGTCACAGAGATGAACTAGGCATTTTGCCTAATGATGTGTGTGTGTGTGTGAGTGTGTCAATCCCTGTCTCTAAGGGAGCCACAGCACTTTAATTCATTCGATGTTCAATTTTAACATATATAGGCAGGGATGGCAGGGGGTAGCGGCGGGACCGCTACCAGCGCGGCATCTCCCACTTGATTTGGTGACATCATTTCGTTGGCCGATCTGACGTGCCTATTGTACCGGCTTTCAGACTTTTTGTGATCACTAAACCTACGTGAGGATAAAGCTATCAGTGTTTCTTGCGGTACAGGGCTAATGTGGTAAAGTGCAAACTGGTGACTAGTATGAAACTTCACTGAATCGCGCTTTTGCAAGCTATCTATCTAAGTGCATATGAAATTTGCAGAATGAGGATTCTACTGTTCCAGTTGCTAGCTATTGGTTGTACTTGATCAACGTTTGGCCTATGCTAGGCCTTAGGCTTGTTTGGGATATTTTCAGGAGTGCAACGAAGACGCGGACCTGTGGTGCAAACCCCGAAGCTCAGCCAGCTAAGTTCCCCACGTCCCTTTCTTGGATTTCTTGAAACATTTGCTCCAGGCAGCTTGGATCTCTTGCGGATCTCGGGGTGGGGCCGTGCTTTCTCAGGCTTTGCCGCCGGCCCTGTTTGGAGCTTTGTGAGCCGACGACTTCAGATCGAAGTGCGTCGCGCAGGGATCGGTGGCCGAGCTTCAGCGATCGGATCTTGTTGGAGAAAGCTCCAAGTCCGGGTCGCGCCAAGTCGGGGTTTGGAGTTTCAGTCGACTGGGCGAGGGTCTGATGGGGCAAAACGTTGGTGTGGAAGATTCCTGTGCAACGGAACCAATCGGGAGTTGTTGGAAGTGTCCACGGAGAATGCTGATGGTGAGGAGCGGAGGTGGAGGGAGAGAGAGAGGGGGAGAGGGTTGTCAGCCGTAAGATATCAAAGCACCCCCCAGATCACAGCGGGAGCTATTTTCGGATTGGGGCATGCAGTAAGAGAGGGAGAGGGAGAGTGCTGCTACAGCTAAGATAGAATAGGCCCCATCACCCATCTCTTTGGTGAAGCTTCTTTTTGAGGCCTATATGTTGCGCTAGTTGTTGCGCTATACTATAGATCATTGCCAGATAGACCCATGGATTGTGGACGGCTCTTTTGCGATCTCAACTTCCCCCTGATCCTGGCCATGGCCGAAGCCCTCACATCACTCACGTCCCGAGGCGCTTGGGACGTGGTCTTGGTGGACTCGCGCTTCCGTGTGGCGTGCGCGTTGAAGAGCTTTCTCCATTTTCATCGGGAGAAGTCGGAGAAGTCGCTGGTGCTGGTGCATGACTTCACTCGCTTGAGGCCGTACTACCAGGACGGGGACCGTCCCCCCCAAAAAGCAACCTCCAAAAAGCCATAGAAATGCACCGCGGGTGGTGTTCTATGGTGTTCCTGAAGCAACGCGGTGACCCAGAAACATCAACAGCCAACAGCCAAACTCCAAGTCTGACCCCTTTTACATCCCTTGAAACGCCATGACCAGCCCACTCAAAAACATTCAAAACTTATCCACGCCAAGCACTTTTGGTTCCTCCAGGACTTCAGACTGAACAATCTTTGGACTCCACATGACGTATTTGATCAAAAAACAAGAACACACAGAAAGCATACACCAAATTCAAAGGAGACCTTGTATTCTGTCCGTTTTTAAAAACTCGACCAGAAAACCTCACCTTTCAGGAGATCTTGCACTTCGGCACGCTGATCTTCCGCTGGTACACTTTGGCCGTGTTCCGCCCCAAACGCTTCACTCGCGCCCAAGAGGCGGAAGAGCTGGAAGAGGCTCTCCGGCGCTTCGAGTACCAGCCGGCATAGGAAAAAAAAGGTCCAACCTTCGAAATGCCATGTTTGAGACCGTGGAGCTATTTTATGGGAGAAGCCCGAGAAGCCTGTGGAGCAACATCTTCTCGGACTGGGATTGTAGGGAGAAGCCCAGGTGCCGATGGCGGAATAATCCCTTTGGGGTGGCGATCAAGCGGTTTGAGGACCAGCCAGGTAGTATAGCTAACTTAAACATTATATATATATATATATTTTTAGTAATTTTTAAAATTTTGATCTTTTAGGGCAAGTGTATATAGGCCAACGAAAAGCCGAACATTCCAGCTACATGCCTCATCCTGGTAGTTTGTATATACTGTGTGGATTGTTGGCGCTTTACACATGCTCCTAACCTGTTTTTTGTCATGTGATAACCCCCAAATATGGTTGCGCATTGGAAACCTCTTGCATTTTGAGGGTTCTATTATCAATCAACAGTCTACATCAACTATCTGTGTCCTGCGGCACTGGGGGCATCACTGCCCGCCGGCCAACCATGCGGCGTACTGAGATTGCAGCTCACAACTCGCGTGTTGCGTCGGTTCTGATAGACATAAGCCCGTACCGCTACGAGCTGAAAAGCGGATGTTGACTTCTTAGGTATTGACTTTGTGCCAGAGATGGGACTTCACGCCGCTCTTTCTGTGAGCGAAAACCCAGGAAGTTGAGGGTTACTCCCCTGCAGATTAACATGGAACCCCAAACCACTGGGTTGTAGAGGAAAATGGTCTTCCACCGGTCAATTCTCCGGTTCCATGTTAGTTTGTGGGAGAGTACATTAACTTTTGTACACTCTCAGGTGAAAACTGCGTGACGTCATCGCCACCCCGCAGGCAGCATGCGTAGAAACAGGTTTTACATGGTTTTACAATGGCATTCTACCAGGATTGGATAAGGTGCTGGACTTGAGTGATTGAGATTTGGAATGGTCATTGTTTATCTTTAGGGATGGAGATTGGAGCCCCAACTGAGGGCCAAAACCCTGCAAAGGTGTCGAAGAGGCACTTAGTCACTTGAATCCTGCAAGATAGCAGCTTGAAATGGTCTTGTGCTGTCGGTGCTTTGTGCGGCCTGCAAAAGCTCCACCCAGACTGGCCATTCCTAGGTTTCAGAGATGGCCGAGAAAGCTCCACCCCGCTCGGAGCGCCCAGCAATATCGTTACTGTAGTTCGTTTGTTTGTTTTGGGATGTCTCGTCCGCCAAGCCTCTGAGATCAAGACTTGTCACTTTCTGGATTGTTTGTGATATGGGTGACAGCATGTTAGACCACACCCTCAATTGCTTGTTTGGTTGCATATTTCTTGACCCAACATTCGACAAAACCAAGAAGGCCAGTCTCCTGGCCTGCATGCACAGTAATGCTAAGAGTCGATAAGGAGCATGGTGTAGTGCATGAGTGTAGATACAGAACATGGCACTGTCTCAACAAAGCACAGCGCATCCCCCCCTCCTCGAAAATGGAGGATCGAGGGGGGGGTACCTTTAGGAATTCCATTTTAATATTCCATTTACACAGCCAACATGTTTCCAGTTTTATCTCCGCGTGGCCCCGAGAATTTTTGACAAGCGACGCGGTTGAATGGGAAAGAGGCTTCAGCAAGCTCACTGAATACAAGTCTGAGCATGGAGATGCCAGGGTGCCCACCAGATTCAAGACTACAGGGAAAGAAAAAAAAGTGCCAAGATCGTGTGAACCGCCTGAATTCACTTGACCATGCTGGCATGATTGAATATGATGGTCTTGCTTTGAATGTAGCCAAAAATAAAAAAAAACAAGGAGCATCGCTTACGCCCCGCGGGCGTAAGCAACGCGACCTTTTGGACGGCAACGCGGTCCCACTGCCCGGAGCTCCCTGAGGGTCCGCATCGCTTGCGCCCCGCGGGCGTAAGCAACGCGTCCATGCAGTGTATTAGGCAACGCGTCCACGCAATGTAAATCAAGGTCTGCTTCTTTGATTTAACGCTCGATGTAACAAGATATACAACCCAACGCTCGCTTGTTTTGCACTTCGAAATGCCAGATACCTGGACCCCTATCCAATGCTTTTTTTGTTCTCGACCAGAAACAGGACGCAGCCCGAAAGAGACCAAAAAGATGACGCCAAAAGATCAAAAACACAACCCAAACGATGCAAAATATGATGCAGAAAGTGCAAAACAGGTTGGGTAAGTGCAGGCCGGTGCTATGGACGACACTGAATATCACTGGATCTAGACCGTTGCTAATGCATCATCAGGGTCAAAAATGGATAATCCATTTTCTGTTGGGGGTCCGACCCCCCCACCCCCTGGGGTAGCAGGGATCACAGCGCAGTCTAGTGGCATGCTCATCTAATTCAGTCATAGAATGTCACATCACGTACACAGACACACACATATAATCACACAATATCACACACACTCACACATATATATATATATAACACACAAAACATATGTTGCAGCCCTTTTAACACGTCTTTTTGAGTTCCAGCCATTCCCAGACTGATATGTTTGCAGGAGGGTCATCCTTTTTGGATCAATTTGGTCAATGGAGTCCGCAACCTGAACTCTCCTGCGATCCAATGTGTCATAGACATCCGCATCCGCTGACCGAAATCGAGACACATGCAACACATCTTGTTTACAAAGCCAGGACCTTTGTCAACACATTGAGCGAAACCAATAGATGAAGAGGTGAAAAGGACATTGAAGAGGTGAACTCCACCTGAATCTCCTTCAACCATCCAACCCCAAGGACGACACGTAGCTTGAGATACGAAGTCTCGGGCCGAAGGTCTCAAATCGCTCGCGCTCGGTGGTCCCTCAGAAGAACAAGACAATCCAAAAATCAGGTTGGAGGCCATCGCTACTAGGCTGGAGGCCATCCTTATTAGGTTGGAGGCCATCGCTACTAGGTCGGAGGCCATAGCCATAAAATAGTTTGGAGGCCATCGCTACTAGGTTGGAGGCCATCGCTACTAAGGTTGGAGGCCATCGCTACTAAGGTTGGAGGCCATCGCTATTAGGTTGGAATCTTTCTCAGCTTCTTGACTTCAAGACGACGCTCGGCTTTCCACCAACCTCTGGCGCAATCCCTGGCCACCTGGTGCCAGTGAGCACGAACGACTGGACGTAGCCCGCGGTACCACTGGACGGCCATGGCTATTAGGTTGCAGGCCATCGCTATTAGGTTGGAGGCCATCGCTGTTAGGTTGGAGGCCATCGCTATTAGGTTGGAGGCCATGGAGATTAGAAGATCTGAGGCTTCAGCCTTTTTGGATGGCTTCATGACTTGGAGCCTGGGGCGCCCAACAGGGACGTCCCCCGAGGAATCTCAGGTCGGTCGGGAGAGGAATGGTCGTACTCCGGGCTCTCGATCCTCCTGAACTGGAGTGTGGGGGACAAACATGTCAAGTATCACAAGCAATTACCAAACATTTGCAGCTTTCCAGCTCCCAATAGAGATTCATTGGAATGCCCATTAACCATGCATGGCAGAGAAGTGAGTGGAAGTTCTTGGAAGGTGGAAGGCACTGATAATTCACAACCACCGTACGTCATGTCACGTGAACAACAGAGGGCGACACAGCAGATACCTTTTCTTTCCTGTCTTGCCGAGGGCCTTTTGAGCTGGAACACCGGTGCCCAATGACCAGCTTGCCCTCCCTACTCCTCATGGAATGCAGAGAGGAAACCCTTCTTCAAGCCGCGCTTAGCTTTGGCTTGAACGGGGTGGGGTGAGACGAATCCAGGCGTCAGGGGACTCACTCCTAAGGCCCTATGGAGACGAGCTCAAGCCCCTGGGCGCGTTCGGGACACCGAGGAGCACGACGCGCAGGGAACGCGCAGGGATTGAAGGGACGGTCGGACCGTCGATTGTGAGGGTTCCTCGACTGGTAATGGGGCCACAATGACCGTGGTAGAGCATTATACATGACAGGTCCCTATATGCTGACTTTGTGTTTGGTTCTTGATTTGATGGTGGTCCTGCTGGGAAGAGGTCGGGTTGCTTCAATGCCACTTGGAGACAGCCGCTGGGGGTTGGGGGTTGCGACAGGATGCTGTTTTGGAGTGTAGGACAGACTTGCAAATATAGTGCGATATATTTATTTAAATTTGTTTAGATGTCTATAGCTATATATGCATAGCTACATTATCCTCCATTCATGATATAGGGGCTCCAGCATTCAATGCCCGCACACGAGATGGGGTAACGGTAGTGCTGACAGGCGCAAAATTGACCACTTGCCCAAGTTTGTGCGGGTTGGGCGGACTCCCCCTGTCAATGTTCTCCTTGGGCATATGTAGTTTTGCTTGTTACATTGTCAGATGAGAAGGACTCCTTGAGTGGGGGGGTGTATGATTTAGACTCAAATTGAACATCATCAATAAATTATTGTTGCACACAGGTTCCGCATGCCGCCACATGAGACTCTAGCAGTTTAGCCTAAGCATGTTCCGAATAATTTGGGATTTGGCGTTTTGTTGAATTCCGCATGTGTTTGTTTTTGTTGGGCTGTCCATGGATGAGTGGGCTCTCCATTTGCGACATTTTCTCGGAAGCTTGTGGAGGAGCTTCCGGATATTTCTGGATTGATGGACCTCATGTAAAAATCCGTGTTTGTTCGTGTGGGAGCATCGACACAAACTGCGCTTTGGGAAGGTCCGGTTGGTGCGTTTAGTCCACTGGTGCTGGTGCCATTGGAAGTTGGCTTTCTTTGCTGGTCTTGGGAGGTGTTGCTTGTCGACACGCCATAGGGACTTGCTCTTGGAGAGCTTGCTAGGAAGCACTTCGAGGCTCCGCTTGTGACTGACAGACGAGCCTCAGGCGATAAAGTTGTGATTTTGGGGTCAGAAAATGTCGACACTCTTCCAAGCCATGTGTGATGCCGTGCAACCCGCTGTGCACACGAAGGTATGGAGGAGTCACGACTCGCGACGTGTGGCGAAGCGGCGTGCCATGCCGTGCCGACGGTGTTGGGAAGGTGCTAGAATTGTGAACGCCTATAGGCAGAGCTGCGCGATGCGTGCGAATCTTGTGATGCTTCCCAGAGTTTCTGTGGCGACTTCCTGCAGGACTCTTGCAGGAAGTTTCCCACAAGACGACTCCAAGGCTTTTTCACGCAAGAGGGGCCCACAAGCGTGTTGTACAAGACATGTCTTGTGGTTTTCTGGGTTGACTTTTGAAACAGCCAGCCAGCCTACAAAAACTTCCTGGGAGTAAGGTTTTACCATTGATTTGCATTCATGTTTGTTTGCTTGCGCTCTCCTCAGCCCAAGGTCCTCGATGCTGGAGCAGCAGGACATCTGACCGCTGCTTCAAGAGTGGAGATGGGGGTTTAGAAAGTGAACTGTTACAGTTTTGGAGACAGCTGTGTAATTATATAATATGATGTTAATGTTACCATGGCCTAGCCTAGTGTTGCTGTTATGTGTTACTGTATGTATTTTGCCTTATTCTGCCTGTATGTATATATTATATATATATATTATGTTACGTTTGTTGTTTTGGTGGAGATTGCTGGGCGGTGGCCGAACTGAAGAGTGGTACTGTAATTGGATATTTGCCACGGAGATCTGTTGTGCACACACACACACACACTAAGGCCAGGAGCCCTAGTAGTTTCTTGCTCCTAGTAGCGGTGCCAGGAGCCCCTAGTAGCGTCCTTGTTCCTAGTAGTGAGGCCAGGAGCCCCTAGTAGCGTCCTTGTGCCTACACACGCGGTTTGGATGATCGACCAGTCGCACGCTCCAAGGAATCACATCTCGCTGCCGACGGACCCTCCGAGCGGTGACGCCAGGAGGAGGTCGTTCGGGTCTCATCGGTCACGCGCTCAGTTCCGCGGAACAAGCTGCGTAGAACGATGGTGGCTGGAAGATCCATGGTTGCAGGTCGATCAACTCGGAACAAGTGGTTCAATTGGTTCTAATTCTAGGTTATGTCAAAATACATACTAGGACTATATGTATATGGCCCACTATTGATTTGGCCCAGTTGTTTCCTGCATGTTGCATTTGCTGCAGATTAATCATATAAATATATACTGTATATATAAGTTTAGGTCACCTAGTGAGTGATAGTGATTTCTCTATGATGTTTTGGATGTATAGTGTATACCCCCAAAAGTTTGCAGGACATTGATTCTTTTTGCCTCAAGGTCCCCGGGCCGGGGATTCTTGATTGGGTGAAGGCGTCGGTTATATATAATATAATATACATATGAAGTGTATTTGGAAGGTACGGCTTCCGTTACCCGGTACCTCAAGCCAAAGATTACTTGCGGTGTTTTGGAGCCCTTCTCCACCAGAATCTTTGCAGAAGGAACCAGAACTGTTTGGGCACACTGCGGTCATAGCTGAGCATGTTTCAGAACATTGCGTGTTTTGGTCCTGCTGCTGCAATTGCAGAGGTTTATCGTAGGGTGGTTGACACTTGAGTGAATTTTCAATCCAAGGTCGGAACTCCGTATTTGCATGTCCTTTGAATATATTTTTTCAGGAACTCAAGGTGCTTTGAATTAAACACTCAAGCCTTGTCCTGATTAATTTTATCATATATATATAAATGTCAGTCCACCACCTGGATATTTTGGGCTATTCTAACAGGTCCACCCAACATGTTGTCAAAGGCATAATTAATTCAGAGTGGGAATAGTTAATTCAGAGTGGGAACCCCGCGGGTCATTTTCATTTGGGCAAGGTAGATTATTTGTTTACTTCCCAAAGCCGCTTCAGATCATGCCAAACAATGTTGTTCCGAAGTGGGTGCTTTACGTGCTCCTTCTTGAACATCCGGGGGACGTCACCATGACTATATATTAATCCAACAAAATGCCAGTTTGCCTGGTCTGATCATTTTGGCTCAGACCGCATGACCTGCGTGCTAAAGACGACCACGTGCAGATCGTCAACGAAAGGAGGCGTCCCAGAACAACCCGCCAGAACTATAGGGACTTTTAACGCTATGACGCCATCTCCAGCGGACCAGCCTTCCATGATCAAAGTCTTCCTTCCGTTCCGGTTTGTGAGGGATACAAGTCCCTTTTTTGGGGAGCGCCATTGGTGCCACTAACTATGTTGAACCATGATCACATCCCATGATGGGTAACAGTTTTCAGGAACAAGCTGATTGAAGCAAGTTATTTATGCCTAGGTCTAGTCTCCTACAAACTTGTATTATTGGATGTGGATGTGCTGCTGGGTGGACTGTCCATGGCTCAGGTCGACATGCTTTTTTCTTCGCAGGGAACTTCACAACCCCACGCCAGAAGCAACTGCAGCCTTCTTAAGTCATGCTTTCAGCGCAGTATCGAAGTTGCCCATGCCATTGGCTTGTATCGAAGTCGTCCCAAACCCACAGGGGAGCGTCCGGACGAGCGACTCTTCGACGGAGTCGCCACGGCGAGTGCGCAGTGGCTGTTGGCTGTGAGCTGCTCGGGTTCTCAGTTGGAGCAGCTCGCAGTGCTGTTGAGAGAGGCTCGCAGGTTGATTCTGAACAGCATGTTGGTTGCAGTCTGTTGCAATCATAATTGGGAAAGGTCATGTAGATGGTCACTTTGACTGGACGGTATCAACGGCCAGGGTGTTTTCTTTCGGTCAGCATCCTGCTCCGGGTTTTCCCACTCCGACTTCGGTGCATGGTGAGACTGTGGAGGTGATGGTCGGGCTAGTCACCATCCTCGTGAGGTGGGCTGTTTTGGGCACAATCCTCTGGAACCTTTGTGACTGAATTGGCCCACAAGTTGGCCGCCTCACTTGGGTCAACGATTGCGTCATGGCCAACCTTTATGTGCCCGGTGTTCGGAGGCTATGCCAGTCATGAAGCCTGAGGGACACACTATCATACACCCTCCGACGATCCATGTTTGCTTGGCGGTGGTGTAGGGTGAAGTCGTGTCTCCACACGTACCGCCGCACCGTACTGCCGTATTGGCTTCGCATGCTCCCCGCCAGCCTCGCCGGCGCGTCTTCCGTGGGTCTAGGCGCCAAACGAAAAGAGCCGAGTTCGTTGGCATGATGACATGGAAAGCTGAAAGCCTCGGTTTGGCAAACTCCTGAAGAATTCTCTTCTTGTTTGGTTTGAGTCAGCATTCGAATCGCAGATTCCGCATGCTCATGTGCTTTGCTCTCACGGTGATTCTTCTGGTGGTAGTTCTAAGTTCTATAACTATTAAGTGCGCAAAGAAATCCTTCTCAGGCACCTCACCTTAGAGCCTCGGCCTAACCTTAGACAGCCATGGCGGCGAGCTCGTTTCACCATTACTTACAGGCCTGCGAGATGTTTCTGCGAGTACGTGACAGGTGAAGCTGGGTCTGACCGAGGATTGATGTGTGCTTGTTCTCGCGGTTTTTTGGGGCCCGACTAAACATCATCCGCACCGGAAACACGGGGTTGACCAAAGGCTTCGATGTCGAGAGCGAAAGAAGGCAGGGCTGTTTGACACCAAAAAACGGCTTGCTTGTTGTGAGGGATCGACATGTGAGGGATCCGAAATCGAGTCCTGGTGTGGAGCCCTGCTGGGGATCTTCTCTTGACGTCACTCGGACGCAGACGCAACGTACGACCTGGCCACGACGGGATGAGGCGTTGAACTCGGAGTTCGAGCGGCTGCTCCTTGAGAACAAGGAGCTCAGGAAGGAGCTGCAAAATGAGCCAATGTGGCTCGGTCAGAGTTTCTGGGGGGTTCCTGCCTTTTGCATGCTTTTTCTGGCAGAAAACCCTTGATTTGAGGTGGTTGCTGAAGTCCTTGGAGATGGACGAGCCCAAAGAGGCCAAAGAATCTTGGCACAGAAGCTGGCATAAAGATCCCAAAACCTCCAGATGGTTGGCAGGAGAGATACCGTCCGAGTTTCTCTGAATTGGACTGCCGTGATTTTGTGTTCAGCTTGTTCAAGCCGCCAGTCATTTGCTCAGCTGCTATCCAGCACCCTCGCATGTAGGACCCAAGTTCAGCAGCAGATGAGGCCCTAAAATTCAAGCAAAAAAACGTCTCAAATTGAAACATATTGAATGTCTGGAGGTTTGCAGACATAGAGGACATCTGAAAACCACCAGCCTGGACCAGCCCAGTTTCTGAGGGCTGTATGGAGTTCCTTCGCTTTAGTTCCTGCCTGGCGATGGCAAGCATCACCGACCAGAAAAGTCTCAAAATCTCTGCTGCAGGGCCTGAGGCATTTGTTGAAACAAGCATGGAAGGCCAGTTGGAATAGTTTCATTCGACCAACTGTGGGGGCGTCCCTTGAAAATGAATAGCGGCTTAGCGAGTGTGAATGTTGCACTTGGCCTAAAGTCCAAGAACATTTTGTAGTGCAGCCGTCCCCAATTGATACTGTATAGGAAAAACACATATATATATATGATTTATATACAAATATGAAAGTTATGAATCGAAAGAATATAAACTGTGAATGTGACATCATTTTCATTGTTTTTTGGTTCACCAGGACATCGCTTCCTGTCGGGTGGACCATCCAACCGACCTGAACCGCACCGGGGCGGAACCGCCCAACCGCGCTCAGGGTGAAGAGGGCCGTCGAAGCACCGGAGAGGGCACTCCCACGGCGGAGGTGACAAAGAGCAGAAGTACCGACCGATTTGGTGTCCAAGGGGTTCGTTCCACGGTCTCCTCCCAGTGACTCAGATGAGAAGGATGGGATTTTCGGGATTGGTTGGAACAGGAACCAACAGAAAAGACAGACAGTTGGCTTGGCGCACTGTAGCTCCAAGAAAAGTACTGACAAGAATATACATGAGTCCATGAGTCATGAGTATTACATGAGTCTAGTTCTAATTAGTTTTGAGGCCCGATTAGGCCATTGGAACCTGAAGCTGTTCAACTAACTTTATATAGTTATATCCAAAAACGACATACAAAGACATGGTATACAGAGACAGGTGATGGGGGGTGCCTTGGGAAATTATTCCAGGCATACCCTTACGTATTGGAATATTTTTGCTGGAATATTTTTTCTGGAATATTTTTCCATGCAGGTATGCCATACCCCACCGTGGAGCTTGTCGTGGAATAATTGTTTAAGGTATAAATATGTTAAAGCGCCGTCCAAACTGAGCGATCATCTCAGAGGGATCCAGAGGGGTCCATACCAAATAGAGGTAAATTAATAAGTCGAATCAAAACAGTCGATATCAATCGATGTCGTCTTTTTGAATGCAGAAAGAAACTCTTGGACACAATAAGCTTTTGGATATGAGCTTGGGATGTTTGATTTTTGATTCAAATACATATATTGAAATGGATCCAACAGATTTTGGCAGTACATTAGGTGAAGAGACTGGGGATTGGTCAGTTTACAAAATATATTCCATATGTAATCTAGAGGTCACATACTGCTGGAATATTTTGAGCGAGACTTGGATGTGTGTCAAGTTGTTTCTGTTCAAGATTGCACGCTGCTTCAAATCTTTCCAAGAGTGATGTCGTGACACCTTGGACTATTTACCTAAACCTATAGGATTATTAAATTATGTTAAGATGCCAGAAATTATTCTAGGAGGTTCCCACCCTGTGGAATAATTATCCAAATCGATGTTCAACCCTCCAGGAATAATAGATAAATATTCCTGGAGGTATCGACGGTCTGAGGTATCTAAGGGACCCCCCATGACAGGTGTATGTGATGTAATTGGGACTGTTCATCGACGTTCTTTTCCTCCTCGTCACCTTCCAAAAAAAGAGACGAGCCACTGGCATCTCAATAAAGATAATTAACATATTAATATACTGTAATAACCTCTTTATATAGACGTGCTCATCAGCATATGGATGAACACACACGAATTCGTAGCTTGTTGCCCCTACTCCGTAAACCACGAGTTTCCGCCATCATTCAGCACACAGTAAAATTGCTTACTGGCTAAACTGGTGAAACCACATATGAACACAGCAGGCCAAGAGGTTGTGCCCTGGGCGAGTTCGCCCAGGCTCCGGTTGTCCGGCCACTCCACGGGCAGTGCCCTGGCGCCGCCCAGCGTCACAGCGCCCTCGCTCGCGCCGCCCTTGCCGGGTGCCGTGGAGGATGAGCCCAAGAAGCACCCTGGAATGCCGAAAGGGGGGCCATGGTCGGCCAAGATTTCTTGTAAAGAAAAACGACTGGTGGCCAAATAGGTCGCAGGATTGCAGCCATTCATGTCTTCGGTTAGGCGTGAGAGTGATCGTCCCCCAAAATAGAGCTAAGATTGAATGAGTGATTAATAGATACCCGGAGTATTTGCTTAGTTGCCTTAATGGTGCTTTCCGAATCCCAAACACAGTTCTCAGCTCGGCAAATATGCCCAGTCCCAAACAAAAGAATTCCTGCACGGCCAATACTCGGCAAAGTTGAAACAACATCATCAACTATTTGGGGGTGATTTAGGGCTACTTGTTTAGTAAGTTCCATCGGGGTGCCTTTCTTCATATGTGATTGCTTGAACCAAATCATGTGTGTTTACACTTCCGAAAACTAACATAGACCCTGACTGTCCTGGCCCCCCTGGGTCCGAGTGTTTTCCTCTACCAACCAGTGGTGAACTCAGGGTCCATGGGATCGTCGCCACCAGGGTGTTCCATGACATGAGGCATTCTCCCTTTACACTAGCCCAAGCACGGCTAGGGCTAGTGTGCGCGCGTGTGGTCTGCTTTCATAAACAGGTGATGAGAGGTCTGGTGATGTCGGGTGTCGCTGAAAAGGTTTGAACACATGTTCTGAACGCATCTAGTTCTGGTGCCTTGATACATTATTCAATATTATTCAGCTTCTAGCCTATTTCCTTCGTCGGGGTGTTATTGGCTCCCACTGTTAGGGCTCCGTCGTTCGAAGACACAAGTGAGATTTCCCACCAAGGATCTTGATTTAGAATTTCAATCATGCCTTGGGAACTCTTTCTTGTTTTGGGGGAACTGTGTAATTAGATATACTCCGCAAAGGCAGATGTCCCAACATGTTCCTGTCTTTGTTTCTTCCTGGCTTGGGGGGAAGGACATTGCGTTTACTTCGCTCCCCCTCCCCACTTCTGCGTCCATGAGGCACACGGTGGAAGCCACCTGGGTCAGCGAAGTGCCGGGAGGAGTGGGAGCTCCCGAAGGCACGGTATCAACGGGGGAAGATCGGTCTCAACGCCTGGAGCTGCACACAGTGGAGCAAGTTGTTACAGTTGTTTCAGAGTAGATGGGACAAACCGCAAGATGTCCTTTAGATGGGGGTCCATATGAACCACATTAAACCACCTTTTGGGGATTGTGCCATCTACTCTGAACCCACTGCAACTGTTAGTGGCTTCAGTGTGACACTTTCCAGTACTGGCCATCAGCCTTTTCTGTAGCTTAACTTAGAGATAGAGGTCACAGAGACCCACCCCTAGAGACACAGAGACCCACCCCTAGAGACACAGAGTCTTTGTCCACGTTCAAGAGCTGCGAGTGAGAAATCAACGACAAACGCTTGACGCTGAGACTGTAAGCGCACGACGGCACGCCCTTGACTTGGTTGCCATGTGTTTTCCTCCACGAGTTGTTCCCTTTTGCATGGGTGCCTTGGGATTAAGTATGTATATATACACGTCAAATCACCGTATATATCCATTTTGGTTTGTGAGGCTGATATGTGCCCGCAGCATCCTGCATCCCGCATGTGACAATGGAATAAGTTTTGGGGGGTCTGATGTTTGTCGTCCATCTTCCGGACACCTGTGCATCCCAAAACCTGTGTGTGCATTCCAGCTTGCCAAAGTGAGTTCCACAATTTGAAACTCATGACCGTTTTTGTTCCACAAAGAGCCCATTGCAAGAAGCTACTGGTAGCTAGAAGCTACTTGGTGGGGGCCATCACTATTGGGTCCAATTGTTTGATTGGAGGCCATGGCCATTAGGAACAAGAAGCTACTAGTAACAAGGGCACTACTACTATCGCTATTAGGTTGGATGCCATCGCTACTCGGAACAAGAAGCTACTAGTAACAAGGGTAATACTACTAGCCATCGCTATTAGGTTGGATGCCATCGCAATTCAGAAGAAGAAGCTACTAGTAACAAGGGCATTACTACTAGGCCATCGCTATATAGATTGGAGGCAATCGCAATTCGGAACAACAAGCTACTAGTAACAAGGGCATTGCTACTAGCCAGCGCTATTAGGTTGCAGGCCATCACTATTCGGAACAAGAAGCTACTAGTAACAAGGGCATCACTACTAGCCATCGCTATTAGGTTGGATGCCATCGCTATTCGGAACAAGAAGCTACTAGTAACCAGGGCATCACG